ATATATATATACCACTCTATGCATAAAAATTGTATCCAAAGTAGCCCCAAACAGGATAAATTAAAATGCCAGAAACCACAGAAGGGAGCAATGCCTACATGATGGAATATTTATGCACTAGAATATTCGACACAAAAACAAAATATAAACTGATCTTACAAACCACTACAGAACTTCACTATTTGAGAAACAATCGGTACGCAAAACAGGATGTGGTCATACAGTTAAAGAAGATATCTTTCAAAATATATTGTAGTGGCGACTTACGTATTTGAAATATACATGAAGTAGGTGCACTGTTACTGACGGAAGAAGTGTGTCCCCACTGCAAAGAGAACAGTAGCAAAGTTAAAGCCTTTGGGATTGAATATCTCCCTACAACGTCCCAAATTACATTGTTCTGCCCCTCCCCAGAAAACACACACAGGCAAAGTATAAACATACACACAAAACATCAAAATTTCACTGAATATTCCCTTTTCTAGATAACCTGTATTACATTCACATGACATATATTAACACCTCAACACATAATACAAATACAGAGCAGTGGAAACATACAAAATAATCAGACCCCTGGGGTTAGTCAAAAATAATTCAACTGGATAAAAACCTCCCAGCTAGAGAATGGAACATTTTAAGACATCCAAAAAATAAGGGTGGTGAATTGCTTTACTGCCTCCCATTACAATACCTACCTTTTCCTCAAAGTCAACCTCGACCCCCAATCCTAAACACTTTGTTTTAGACTGATTCTGCTGGTTGTAAAGAAAGGAATGATACCACACACCAGAGACAGTAGAATCTAGGAGCAAAGTGCGACCTCTCTGGGCCCTGGAGTTCAGAGAGCTGAAGCATAATAATTTGGAGAAGACGAGGACAGAAGTGAATCTCTGGGAATTGGGAGGGGGCTGACAGGAAGACTGAAAACTAGAGGGCAGCTAGAGAGATGGAGCACAGTACAGAGAAGGAATAAGGCAGTCTGGAAGGTTCGGCTCGGCTCTGAGGGAGGGGACTCTGTCTCCACTAACACATGGTAAATCCACTGGCTGGGTGAGACAGCAAACCAGCCCAGAAGAGAAGCCATGGCTGCTGTGAACTGCAAAAACATCATGGTGTTTTACTCTGAAAATGTCTCCTTCCACAAGACGGCCTGGAATGCCTGCCACATCTGAAGAGGGTTTAATCAGAAGCCATTACAGGGAGGAGTTGTTTGGGATTGGGTCATACAGCAACTGCAGAGCTGCTTTACTCCAGGCTTTCTGGGGTCCCCCTGCCACTGGACTGGGTAGGAAGGGACCAGGACAGACAGTGGTGAATAAGGTACACGGTAGACATAGGGCCACTGAGACATTTAAGTTCAGCTTGGGGACAACACTAGGGCCCTGCCCATAGGGTGAGAAGCCAGGAATGACATGTGTGCCTCTCCGAGGCAACTAGATATGGAAGTGCTGGCATTAAATCCAGTAGACTGTTTCAAACCCTGCCTGCTTCCTACCCAGACACAAAACTCAACATGCCCTTTGCTTTCCACATCGACCAAGGTGAACAAGGGCATGGCTCGGCTTGGATCATTGCCACAGCCTGGGTTGTACAGAGAGAAGGGTCTCTGGAGCATAGGACGAGGGGCAGCTCACAAACCCATAGGCCATAAAGCTAGTCAGAGAAACCATGACTTGGAGGGCACAGAGGACCATGGAGACTGAGATCTGCCAGAATGATTGGAGTCTCAGTGCAGATGAACTGACCGCCTGCACACAGCAGGAATGGTGGGTCAGGAAGCAGGATTCCCCCTGCAGAAAAATATGAGTGCAGAAACAAAACAGGCCAAGCCGTGACTCACTATCCCTCCACCGTATCTGCTGCATTCAAACACAAAGACCCTAGGAGGAAAAATCTTAGTCAAAAACACATAAAAACTTCCTTTACTCATACTGGTTTGTTTGGTTCTTGGGGGTTTGGGGTTTTTTGCCCACTTAATATTTTTCTTTATTTTTTCATTTTGTTGTTTTTTCTTTTTTCTTTTCTTTGTTGTTCATTCTTTTCTGTTATTTATTTTTGTCTAATTCAATTAATTCCCATTTACTTCTTATGGCATCCTTTATCTCTCTTTTTTCTCCTTCTTTCATCTTTCTTTCCTTTATTTCCAAACTTTGTTCTTTCTCCCATTCTGCAACCCTCTATCTTTATTAGTATAACATTTAAGCTTTAAATTATTAAAGACACGAAAATGGTAACAAACATGTTTCATGAGAGGAAGTTAGGAAATGACTATTTCACCCAGTAACTGCACAAGGCGGTAATAGTCAGAACTCATATAGAAAACAAACTGGTGAACAAATATTCAACAACATTAAGAATAACATTAAATGTGAATGGAGTAAGCAATTCAAGGACAGGAAAAGAATATTACACTAACTAAAAGAATAACATACAAATATCTGCTGTGTACTTGAGACACATCAGATTGAAGAGACAAATATGCAACTTAAAAGAATGGAAAAAAAAAAAAAAGAATGGAAAAAAATAACAAATCACATATAAAAGAACTGGAATGGCTATTCTAGTATCAGACAGACTGATAATTTTTGCTACAAAATGCTATTAAAGGTTTATGTAATAAATACACTCAACTAATCACAAAGACACAAAAATTACATGTGGATGCATACTAACAGCAGAGCTCCAAAATACTTCAAGCAAAAATTAACCAAATTGAGAGGAAAAGCAGAATTTAAACATAATATTTGGAAACTTCAATCATCACTTTATAAACATTTTTATCCAGTGTTACTGAGACACAATTGACAAGTAAATTTGCACATATTTAAAGTGTACAACATTTGATGATTGCACACACTGTGAAATGATTATACACCAATCATCTCGCACACCTGTTTCCCTTTCAAAAAGAGGTAAAACATCCAGGCAGAAAAATTTTAAAATGCTCATACAAGATATGAACATTATAAAAGAAGTAGACCTAGCAGATAGCCACAGACTATTTCACCCAATAACTGTAGAAAATACATTCTTTGCAGGTAAATCTGGAACATTTCAAGTGTAAACCACATTTTTGGTCCCAGGAGAAATCTCAAAAGATTAAGCAAAATAAAACAAAACAAAGCATGCTCTCTGACACCGCCAACTGAAATTAGAAATCAACATCAAAATTAGGAAAAATGCTAAAATGTGGAAATCAAACCACATGGTATTAGTTAAACAATATGTCAAGGAAAAATTCCAGTGAAAACTGCAACATTAAGGGGCTGGGGATTTAGCTCAGCGGCACAGCACCTGCCTGGCAAGTGCAAGGTCTTCAGTTGGATTCCTGGTACCAGGGGAAAAAAAAAAAAAAAACCTGCAACATTAAAAGACAACTGACAGCCAGCTGTGCTGGTGAGGGCCTGTAATTCCAGCACTCTGGGAAGCTGAGGTAGGAGGATGGCAAATTCTAGTTAAACCGAGGCAGTTTATTGAGACTCTGACTTGAAAAGTATAAAAGGGTCAGGGAAACAGGTCGGTGTGAAGGCCTGGGTTTGATAACCCATACCAGACACACACACAAATACATGCACACACGGCATACAAAAATTGACATTTATAATTAAAAATTGCTAAGTAGGATTTTTATATAAAACCTGATTTGCAAAATCCAAATGTGACATTAAAACACCCACATTTAACTATGTGCAATTATCTCATTGAAATATTAAAGATACAAATGAATTATCAATATAAAGTTTTCAATAAAATGCCTAAATAATATACGGGACAAAAGAATGCAAAAGAAGGGAACTGAAATTTTCTTCTTGTGCAGTTGCATTTATATCAATCGATATTATCTTAACCCTAAGGAGACCAAGGAAAATAATAGATTTCTATGCCAACTGTAGAGCAATCAGTAATCTTAACACAATGAGGTATAAGTAATATTTTCATTACTAATGTAGATCATTTCTTGGAACTAGGGATTGGACACAGGGCTGTCACACTGAGCTACATTCCCAGTCCTCTCTTATTGTTATTTTGAAAGAGGGTCTTGCTAAGTTGCCCCCGTGGGACTTGAACTTGTGGTCCTTTTGCCTCAGCCTCCCTGGACTGGGCTTACAGGTGTGTGCTACCATGACCAGACACTAATGTAACTTTAAAAATTACTGCAAGATTTAAAGGCTAGAATATATGCCATATTTACTTGACTGTTTTCCACTAGGCTCTCCCTCAGTAATGTACCTCCACCACATAACCCAGGTCTAGTACCTGCTCAGAACTGGGGAATCAAGGAAAACAGTTAACAGAAATACATTAAACAAACAAAATGAATATGATCCACTCTTAGAAGACTAATTGCCTTTAAGGAAAATTTTACATCTTAAAAAATTACGCATAGGAAGGCAAATGTTCAAGATGAACACTTAACTTCAAAAAAAGAAGAGCTAGGTATATAGCTCAGTGGTACAGCACTTGACTGGCACAGATGAGGCACTGGGTTTGTTGACATTTGTGATCTCTTTATATATATATATATATATATATATATATATATATACATACATGTGACATAAAAGATTTTTCATCAGTAATATGAACTGAACATAGGTTCTGCAAGTATGTAAGAGCTATATTCTCATGTTATGAACACAATACATTTACTTAAAAATAGACCTTTTAGCTGGGGGTGGTTTTTCATGTCTGCAAGCCCAGCATTGGGGAGGCTAAGGCAGGAGGATCACCATGAGTTTGAGGACAGTGTGAGCTACACACTGAGTTCAAGGACAGCTTGCACTGTAAAGAGAGACCCTGTCTCAAAAAATCAAAAAGAAATACAAAAAGAAAGAAGAAAAAAAGAAAGAAAGACTGTAAAGAGAGACCCTGTCTCAAAAAATCAAAAAGAAATCCAACCAGTCAACGAAACCAAGAAATAAAAAACACAAAACAGACCTTTCATCACTTTTTAACCAAAACTTTATGCATACTTGTGAATAGCTTTGTTCACTACAGTCCTGAAAGGAAAATTACTACTTATAATTGGTACGATAAATTTAAAATTTGCTTAAAAGTGCCGATTTCACTTCCCAAAACACACTCCCATTTTTTTTCTCTCTCTCAATAATTTGGCATCACAATAAAAAGAATAGCTTACTATTCATTTAAAATGTTACATGAAGCCTGTGAAGCTGAACCACAACTTTCACAGTAGCCAGGCTCAGACAGCCAGGACCTGGTCAGTAACTGCCACTCTTCTTAATTGTGGCCCGTTTCTAATTTAGGACCAAGTGGAGGGGACCGAATACGCTCCTCTAATCAATCATATCAAAGGTTGCATTTTTAGTTGGTGTATGACTAGCTTCAGCATCCCCAAAACGTACTTACTACCTGTATCAAGGTGTCCTCAAAGCCTTCCATTTTTCTACTACACTTTTCCAACTTCCTTGAATACCATCGCATCCCTGCCAAACACAAAAGACAATGTCCATATTCCTTGCTATAGCAAACCAAAAAT